CAGAAAAAGAAAAATTGCATTAAATCATTCCGTTGGTGTCATTTTGCGGAAAAGGAAAAAAAAAATAGTCTTTAACTCAAAAGCATAATTCACTGAAAATGTGTGTATTTTGATGATAAATACTTTAACAAATTAAATTATATTTATATTAGAGGACCAACCCATAAAATTTTGCCTAACATTGGAGCAAGAAGGTAATCCTATTTTCTAATTTTTCTCGGTCAATTTGTCTTCACTTTTTTTTTTTGGTCTAAAAACAGAAAAAGAAAAATAAACACACAAAACTAAAGCATGTTCAGCTTTGAGAGAATTACTATACTTTTTAAAAAATGCTTTATATATTTATATTTACGTGTAATTCTAGTAATCTAATTTATGCATATGCAAAGGACGAAAAAAATAGGATTTAGGCCCCTACACCCAAAGTATTTACATGTAATTCTATTACTCTAATATATGCATCTGAACGAAGCCATACAAATATATACCATAGGCAAATGAAAGACCCCACATTTAATAGTGTTTGCTGAATGCAAGTTTGATCGAGAGTTAGAGAAGAGAAGTGGAAAAAAAGACTCGGGATGGATTTTAAGAGTCTTTGTGTGAGTCGTATGTGGTAAGAGTCGCACGTAGAGCAATAAATACGATAAGATTGAGACTTTTTAAACATCTTTTCAATTTTTTTAATTCACAATAACTTGAAATTTCATGTTATAGAAATGAAGAGTTGTTTCGTACCAAAATATCACGAATAACCATATATGAGCTAGAAATATCAATTCATCGGGAATTGAATAGTATAAAAATATCCTTTTGAGAAGAAATGAGTTTAAATTCTACTCAATATCTAATATATTACTAGTTTTTTTGGTAAACCAAATATAGTAGAACCAGAGTCATCGTTCTCATCGGATTAATTGATGGTTATTAATATCTCACGTTTACATCACAAGAAAATTCATTCACATGTGTCAAAGAGCAAAAATCTGTCTGATCTTTTTTTTTTCTTTTTCAAATTAATATCTTGTACATGATGAAGTGTTTTTTGTCGTGCTCCTAATCTTTTTAACTAAACCTAAGAGTTTAACTCTTATCCATACGGTAAGTGATCGACGAGCTTCTTTTCGAAGATTAGAATAGTACTGGCCCATACTAAATAGTTGAATTGAATCTTCTAAAAAAAAATAGACGAGCCTAGAGCTACAATACATAGGCGATGGACTTTATAGTAAACATTCCATAAAAAATGTCAACGCTAATAAATTTAATGATTTGATACAAACAAAAAAGGAAAATAATTTTTTCTCAAAATTCCATAAAAATTCAACTACTATATCGTTCTTCAGCTATCAAACATTAAACAAGTCACGACCCACCAACCTCCTATTCTCTCTAACTATTTTATATTAAAGTATTATTATTATTATTATTATTAACATTAAATAATACAAGATTAATGAGGGAGTGAGATCTACATTAATACAAAGTATTAAAACAGGTTCAAACGAGTCTCGCAATTAAAAAATTAAAGTTGGATAGAAGTTTAGTTCATGTAAGAAGACTTTGACTCATAAATAAATCAATAAATTAAATAAAAAAATACCAAGTTCTTGAAATTAGTCTAAAAAGCATTCAATATTGGAAAAAGAAATAATTAAAATAATTTTTTAAATAAAGGGGAAATTCCAAAACCGCGTGTTCCCAATCCCAAGTCACCGCCTCGCACCAACGACCGCCCTCAATAGAAGCAGTAAACAAACGATATTCTCCCATTTCGCGTTCACACTTTAAAAGTTTTTTTATTATTTTATTTTTCTAATTAATGAATATTTTATTCATTTATTTAGTTTACTTTTTCAAAATTTTATTTTCCTATATTTGGCATGTTTTCGTGAAATTAGTATCTTTCTAGTCTTGGGGCCCACGCTTCGGGGTTCATTTCAAATGCTACTTTTAGACAAAAAAAATAATAAATAAAATTCGATGGAAAAGAAATAAAATAAAGAGAACCCAATTGACTTTCTGAGATGAATATTATCTTTTTTTGGTAAATTGATTTTAAGGATGAGCTGTATTTAAGGGGGGAAAAAAAAGATAATCCGTTTAGAAATTAGGCAATTTATAAAAATACAAGAAAACCAAAGAAAATAGTCCCATTCCCAACGTATTTTACTTGACTTTTGTACATTATAAAATTATTGGTTTAAATATTATTTTAGATTAAAATTTTTATTTTAGTTGTCTCTATAATTTTAAGATTTATTTATCAATTCTTATACTTTTTAAAAATCATTTTAATGAATTTAGTTAGTGGAGTGTCGTATTGAACTTATAGAAATATAAAAATAGGAATAGAGACTCGAATTTATGACTTATTCATTAGAGATAGATGTCAATTATTGCTAAACTAAATTCGAAAAATTTCATGTGAACTTTATCTTTAAACTATACTTTCTCCATTTTGGTATTTAAATTTTATATTTCACTTAAAACTATATTAAGAAATACTTTAAAAATAACAACTAGTTATTTTTTTTATTACTTAAATACCATAACTCATCCAATACCACTAATCTAAAATTCATTATGGAGCAAAATAAAAAGTATATTTTACATCAGGAGAAAAAACCAATGTGCATTTTACTCGATCGTCACAACAAACAACAACAATAATAATATCTATATATTAATAATAATAATAATAATAAAACAATAAAGTTGAATTTTGGATTATAAATTGAGATTGGAATAACCAATGTTGTGTCCGCACCGACCACCACACATCAATCATGTGGTGTCCGCCATACGATAACGATTCACCTTCTTACCCCATTTTTTTTTTATTTTTTCCATACACATATATAAATATATAAAATTTATATATAACAACCTTTTAATACCTATCTACTTTCAAAACATCGCCTCTTTAAAAAATTAATATTTTCGTCTATCTATTTTTATTTTTATATAATTTCTTATAATGACAATTTACCATCGTCATTCACGAAATCTATTAAAATGTAGCCGTAAATTTATATTGAAAACTTTCATTATATATAAAATATATGTTGAATACAATCAAGATTAAAAAAAAAAATAGGGAGAGTAAAATAATATATAAACCCATGAGGCTACAATTATAATTATATATTGTATTGTATTTTATTGTATTTCAATTTTCAAAAGCGTTGTGGTTTTGTGTTGTGTAATCTGTGTGTTCACATTGGAGGTCAAACCTGTAATCATAAACTTGAGAAGGAAGAACGAAGAAGAACCCTCTCCACAATTCTTATTTCTCCGTCCACAATCTTCTTTCCTCCGAATTTCTCTCCTCTCACCCACCCATCGATTCAATTTTCTACTACTTTTTCAGCTGTATAAAGATTTTGTTCGGTTCTGTTCTTCCCAATGAATGATTCCGCCAACGGAAGCGCCGGGAAGAGGAATAGGCAGGAGGAAGCCGATGAAGACGACGATTCAATGGGGGAAAATGGTCCAGGCAAGGTTTTGAAGGGCTTGGTTACTTCTCTGTTGCTGTTGGATGAGCAGGAGAAGTGTGAGCAGGAAGAACATGACAGGGCTTCCATGGAGGACAAGCTTTCTCTGGAGGTGAATCACCGGAAGAAGACCAAGGCCATGGTCGATTTCTACTCCGAAGTTCAGGATTACTATTCGGAAGTCGAGGAATCGGACCGGATGAAGCGGAAGAAATCGCGATTGGCAGCGGACTCTGTCGCGGTTGCTGCCGCCTCCGATGGATTGCAGAAGATCGAGAGCGATAAATCAGCCAAACGCGGCGGCGATGGCGGCGGCGGGAGCGGGAGCGGTGGGCACCACCGGAGACTGTGGGTGAAAGATAGGTCAAAAGCGTGGTGGGACGAATGTAACAGTCCGGATTACCCCGACGAGGAATTCAAGAAGCAATTCAGGATGGGGAGGGCAACTTTCGATATGATTTGCGAGGAGCTTAATTCCGCCATAGCCAAAGAGGACACCACGCTTCGAACCGCGATTCCCGTCCGGCAAAGAGTCGCCGTTTGCCTCTGGAGATTGGCCACCGGCGATCCCCTCCGAGTCGTCTCCAAGAAATTCGGATTAGGTATTTCCACCTGCCATAAACTGGTTCTCGAGGTCTGCACCGCCATAAGAACAGTACTAATGCCGAAGCACCTCCAATGGCCAGAAGAAGAAACCCTAAGAAGAATCAAAGAAGAATACGAATCCATCTCCGGAATCCCCAACGTCGTCGGCTCAATGTACACCACACACATTCCGATCATCGCCCCCAAAATCAGCGTCGCAGCGTATTTCAACAAGCGCCACACAGAGAGAAATCAGAAGACATCGTATTCAATCACAGTCCAAGGCGTCGTCGATCCGAGAGGCGTCTTCACCGATGTCTGTATCGGATGGCCGGGATCAATGCCGGACGATCAAGTTCTGGAGAAATCGGCTCTGTTCCAGAGAGCAAACGGGGGGTTATTGAAGGGGGTGTGGATCGTCGGGGGCTCGAGTTATCCATTGTTGGACTGGGTTCTGGTTCCATACACGCAGCAGCATCTCACTTGGACTCAGCACGCCTTCAACGAGAAGATTGGGGAGATTCAGAAGGTTGCTAAAGATGCCTTTGCGCGGCTGAAAGGGCGGTGGCGCTGCCTGCAGAAGCGGACGGAGGTGAAGCTTCAGGACCTGCCGGTGGTGCTCGGAGCTTGCTGTGTTCTACACAACATTTGTGAACTGAATAACGAAGAAATTGACAGAGAACTATCCACAGAGCTTCAAGATGATGAAATGGCTCCAGAAGTTGCTCTCAGATCGGTGACCTCCATGAAAGCTAGAGATGCCATTGCTCATAATCTGCTGCACCATGGACTTGCAGGCACTGCATTTCTATAGTAAAGCAAGTAAGAAACCCAGATTCTTTTTTTAGGGTATGTGTTTGTTTCACAAGTTTTGGTCTGAAGTGGGTTCCCCTTATTCTCCTTCTTCTCCTTCTTCTTTTCTCTTTTGGGGGGGCCTAAATTATTTTTTCATAAGTTCTTGTTATGAAATTGAACTCACACAGAAAAATTTGTAGTTTAGGATCATATACTGATTATTATCAAACATGACACAAATGATTTTAAATGAAATGTTCAATTCTTTCAAACTTTCTTCTCTTTTTCAATTTTTTTTTCTTTTCTTTTAAATGCGCTTGTACCTGCACCATTTAAGGTTTTTCATCATAGTCAATGGTTTAGATAGAACAGCTTTGATTGATTATAAAGATATGGAGACTTGGCATTAATCGGCATCCCAAGCCCCAACACGTGTATAGAAGCATATAGTTAAGATTTGGTATAATTCAAAATGGAAAAGTTGGAGAATTATTCTTCATTTGAAATTTGTAACATCAAGCCCCGATTCATAATTATTTCATTTTAGTTTTCTAAGCTTATTTTCATGTGTTCGTTTTCCTCCTTTTATTGAAATTAAATGTAACCGTGTAATTGCTTGATCAACAGTTGTACTCTTCCTCTATTTAAACGAGGAACTTATTATTTTAATAAGTTGGCATTTTTATAGACATTTTTTAAATTTTGTTTTTATTTCTAAAATTTACTAAGAATTCAAATATGTTTTCTATGAGATTTGAAAACTTTACTAATGAAATTGTTAAAAATAAGCATAATTTTTATAAACAGAAAATTAAGAAGGAAATAATTATCTGCACCTTAATAATCTAATATTATGAAGATTTATGAACTCGATTATAAAGCTGAACCTATGACCTCAATGTATTCCCAATAGGTTTCAGGCCCATTTAGCACGATACAAGTTGTCTGTTTTTATAAATTGAAATTTTTGTTATTAAAAACTTATTTGACTCTTGTCGGTTTAAATATTGCCTTCAGTTTCATTAGTAATGGTTTCTTTGAAGGAAGTATATATTAATTAAATTGAAATCTATTATGTATTAAAATTAATTTATAAACATAAACAATAAATAAAATGCAGTAACAAAAAAACACTTTAAAACTTTTTTAAAAAATGTGACATTAACAAATGCCAGCCACAACTCTAAAAGTTAAAAACTAATTTGTAATTTAATAAAAATAACAATTTAAAATATTAGCCTACGAAATTATTTTTTTTAAAATGCATTAATAGCAAACAGGAATTTGGAAAAAGCCCATTTTATTTTTCTCCCATAGTAAAGGGAGGGAGAGCTTGTATGCACTCGCTCATCAAAGCCCACGAGAAAAACTGAAAACTACTTGTAATAATAATATGATATCATGGTAATAACAACCATTTTTCCCAAATGCTTCCTTCATACCGCTTTGAATTTCGACTGCGTTCGGGATGAACTTTACCAGTCCATAGGATCTACAAAACACCTAAAAACCAGGAAATCGTGTATCGATCCTGCAAGGTTACTCAATAAGTTGTATCATGAAAGTGCCAGTCAAAAACCTGTCATTCCCTTCAGAATTCCGTAGTTCCAGAAGGAGTTGGATATGCACTCATTCATCGCCCATCTTCATGGTTAGATGGTAAACGGAAAGGAAAATGTGCAAAATGAACCTTCAAGGCTGGGGAATCAGGTTTCTTGTCATCGAACTTATAGCCTGCAGAAGATCATACATCAGAAGAAACTACTACACCTTCAATAATGGAGCATTCTATGTGATGTTAAATAAATTCATTGATTGAGTGTTTTGGTTCATAAATAATGTCAATGGCGTCAATTGAAGTTTCGGTTACACAGTAAGAAGTCCCAAATACTGCTGCAGATATTTTCAGTCTCTTCAAGCATTTATCTTTGAGTCTTGTCTTAGATTATCACCCATAAGACGATGTTTTCATTATATAATACCTTGAAGAGCTGCCATAGCAGCCCACGCACACTTTGCTTCAACGAACTCTACAAAGCATAATACCGCAGCCTTATCTCCACTCTGCAGTTCAGTCACTTGTTTGAGCAAAAGCAATATATTGACATTTGACAATATAACTCAGATAACAGAAGAAAATATGGACACTATAAAATCTGAACATGAGGCCACAACAATAACTATAAATAGACCCTTTACCAGAGAGTGCGTGCAGTTATGGATTGCCATCAAAGGTCTTGTCATGAAAAACATGACTCCATAGTTTAAATTTAAAGAGAATCTAATAACTTACTCGTCTGGGCTCCTTGTGAACAACTCTGATATCTTTATAGCCAATGAAGGGGCGGAAAAGATCTTTAAACGAAGTTAAGATGTGACAAAACAAGGCTACATGACAATGGCTCTGTCCATTGTGATCTATGTCCTATCTTCTTTGACTAGAGTGACCTAAAGAAAACAACAGTACTTGTTTTAACTGAAGCACGAATCATATGAGATACTGCCTGCAGCATAAGCAATTTAAAGCAGTGGAGGTAGATAATGTTGGGAAGACAGGATAAATGATAACAAAAGCAAGGACATCGGGTGCAAGGATACGGCCTACTTCTCTTCTAGTACAATCTGTAGGAAGTCCATCAACAAAAAGAATATTCGATTCCCGAGTTGAGATTGGAACACATTCAGCATTCCTGAGACCGAGAGAACTGGCCCTTTCATGACCCATGTCAGCCATACCCAACAGCCCTGGACTGCTGCCCACTGCAATTTCTTGTCTTTGACTTGCTAATGAATCTTCAAAAGGAGATGTGTATCCCTTTGCAGTCACTCCAGATGTCACACCGCCAATCACTGGTTCTGGATAATTTCTAATGTCCCCTATGTCAGCATACCCATAAGCCCCAGTTCCTGATGAATTTGTCTGCAGTTACAAGTCAAGTAAAGCTCTCATAATACAAATATATTTTATACCAACATAAAATTCTTACATCTTTCTGCAAATAATCAGGAGGGGTGTGCCACTGATCGATAGAGGCCGCATTAGGGTAAGATGTCGACAAAGGAGGTGCTTCAGAGTAGGTTGAATGGCTAGACCTTGCTACACTTCCTGCAACCAACAACTGAATATCAATACAAAGTATGATGTTTGCACAACTGAATGACTAATCGAGTGTCAATCACTTCGCGGCTCATAAAATGAGGTATGTAAACGAACTACATATTGATTTGAAAAGACAATGAGGAAATTAATATTATAGAATGACGAGATCGAAACAAAGGATTTGTAAAGTTTTTCCCAAAGAACGGAATCTCAAAAGAACAGGGGAGGCTGACCCCGCAATTGTTTCCTGTCAATGGTAAGGTATCCATAAAAAGATTTCCAATCAAAATAACACACTATAGTCATCAAGCAGCAATTCACATGATTAAATCCATGGTACCTAATTCAAACATCCTCAAATGCATCAATTACCACAAGGTTGATAGTTTAGCTTCGTAAAATACATTCTCCCTACATTCCATACAACTGGCCACACGCTTCTTCTTCTTCTTCTTCTTCTTCTTCTTCCTCTTAGGTGATTCAATCCATGTGAGTTAATTTTCATTCCATGATCGTAGCCAACACAGTACAGGAGGTGAACACATAAGGCAAATGTGGCACCGTTTGTAACCAATGCAATTTTGTTCCGATATGGAGTGGATTGAAGCAATAGAAGAGATCATTAAACTAGGGTTCCAGCAGAGAAAAGTACCTCTATCTGCCGAGGCGGCGTATCTGCTATAAGCATCGTCTCCCATGGCTCGATCGTCTGCTCTGCTTCTGCCGACTGTGACTGCTGCAACCCTCCCGCCGTCGCGCGGCCTTCTCTTCTTCTCTTCTACCAGCCACACAACGACGTAGTTTGGTCCTGTATAGACGACTTTTTTTCTTCTCTTTTCTTAATATTGTTTTTTCTTACCCTCCTTCTGAACAAACGCGAAACGCTGTCCAACACGATCTACTACGATAATTAACGCTGTATTTCCAATGAATAATCTCACATCCGGTACATTATATTGTTGATTAAAAATTTTATTTCAATAAATCTTAAAATCACTTTAAAATTTAGGAGTGATTTTGTATGGTGTCGTTATCAAAATTACATCACTTTTCATGGATCATATTTGTCAAATTAAAAAAATTATTTTAAGAAGGTTTAGAATCACTTTAAATAAATTTTAAAGTATTATGGTAATTTTGAAAAATCAATTATACTTAAATCTATTTTTTCAAAATAACTGATTCTACCATTCACTCCCAACCGCATCCTAAATCATTCAGGCACAAATTATTAAGACACTTGTGTTTTTAATATTTTTAAAATTGCACTCATTTGTTTTTTTTTGGTTTCTATCTTAAAACTTTGATAGTAATACATACATACAATCACACACAAGAAGGATTGGCTTCGGTACGTCCATTGGTACTGGAATGTCGCGAATTCACCGGATCTTTCCTTAAATGACTGATTTTCGGGATATATATCAATTACCATCGAGTTATGTTCACTTTGACAATATTTTTAGATTTTAAATTTTAAACGTTGAGGTGCATAACTACATTTAAAAATTAGAAAAATGATAAAGAATACATTACTAAATACCTCAAACAACTTTTTGTTAATTGATATTCAATTTTAAAATATGCTAACATATCCAAAAATATTAAATACAAGTATACAACTATATTTTTTTATTAATTTTGTTGCCATCAAATTTATATTTTTAGATTACTAACTAAACAAACCCTTATTAATACATCATCTTTGAAGTGAGGTCGGACTTTGTCCCACTGGACAACATTTTATTAGTACAGTAAAACCTCTCCCATATTGTTGGTGGGTAGCTTTTACTTTGGGCCTAAGCAATACATTGCATATGTTAATGTTGGACTTGATCCACAATAATAAAACCTTTAGGATTCATCGATTATCAAGTTTATTAACTAATAACTATTGTGTTATCGTCACCGAGCATAACTCAACAATAATTGACATAGATCTTCGATCAAGAGGTTGCAAATTCGATTTCTCATCCTCACATATTGTACTAAAAAAATTATTATGTTACAGTCAAAACGAGCATATATCTCTAAAACCAACAGACTGTGAATTCGATCTCTCATTCTATATATTAAACTCAATAAGCCCAAAGGCACAAATGTAATATAACAATTAAAAATTATTCATATATTAAATATAAAATTGAGAATTTAAAACATCAGATATGAAATTGAAAAATGGTACCTAAATTAGGGGTGAATTGTAAATTTAGCTCGACTTATATGTAATTTTTCAAACCACTCAAGAAGATGGCAGTTTTGATAATGATAAATGATTAAAATTAAATAAATGATAACTACGATTAGAAAAATGGTTAATAATGGTCCAATTTCTCAATATAGTAAGATAAAAGATTGATTTAATTCGATCACAATCACGAATGCCAATTTTACTATATAATATTTTCTCAAAAAAAAAAAAAAAACTATATGATATTCCATGTGTTAAATCAACCATGTCAATCCACGTGATAATTGGTTAGAAGGAGTTTTGTGGTTGATTATACCAATGCTGAATATTGATGGGTTCATCAATTAGTTAATAACATGTTAGTTGAGATTTGATTAATTAATTGATAGTTAATTAATTCTAAATAATTATTATTTAACTTCACATAGAGTTGCTTAATTTTGACTAGTGAATCCACACATAGATTTTTGTTTTTTAGCAGGTAGAGTTGGGGTTCAAATCCATTTTTTGGTCGAAAAATAAAATACATATCTTAATTATTACATATCATGACAATAATTATTAAATATATGACGAACTGTATGTGTCATGTTATATTAATTCTAATATATGTTCCTAGCTCGACAGTAAATGCAACTTATTATATTTAGATTATAAGTATAAATGATTCTCATGTTCATATTTGATATACTAAAAAATCAAATGAATTAATATGCACTAAATTGAACTGAAAATGAAACCAAATTCAACCTATACATGTCAAATTGATAAATTTAAATAAGCATATTAATTAAACGTCAACCAACTTTGAAGATTTACCAGTACTTAAATACTATAAGATTTAATATTTATTTTGATTTAATTAGGTTAAGTTCAAATAACAAATTTGACCCGTATCTAAAATAACTTGAATATTCGTGAGTACTTAACCATAACAAAGGTTAGTATTTAGTTTGATCTAGTCAAATTAAATTCAAATAAAATAATAAACCAAATATAATATCTAAAATAATTCGATGATGGACGACTACTTAAACACTTCCAAACTTAACACCGAGTATCTTATGATATTATCCGCTTTGGACATATCTCACGGCTTTGCTTTTGGTTCCACATAAAAGGTCTAATACATAATTATCCTTCCTTATATACTATGGATCATCCTTTTTCCCTAAACAACGTGGGACTTTGTTTGCAATCCTTACAAGTCCAACATTTTGCATTTGCATATAACATATATCGATAAGGGTTAAAATAATAGCTCTTAATCGTATTAAATAAATGATTATTTGAATATGGATTTTTAGCATAAAGATTTTACTGGCATATAAAACGTGGTATAAGGTGGTATTCTCCTAATCGTTAAAGATGTGGTAATTCATCTAATAAATTATTCTACCAAACATATTATCCTTCAGATGCAAGAATAGCAGCATGGACTACTACAACATTTTAATATTTAATTTGATATAATCAAGCTAAATTCAAATAAAAAATTCAACCAAAAAAAAATACAATTTCTAAAATAGCTTGAAAATATCACCATTTTGATTTAGGAAACTGATGCCGAATTTTCAGCGGCATACTAAAATTTTAAAATACTTAATTTCATAATTTTTTAAAGAGAAAATTATATTACAATTCGAGTCGACCGCCAATGTGCTAGAGCCTTATAAAGACAAAAGTCCCGCGAAAATGTTTTCATTAATTTATTTACTATTTTCATCGACAAAATAAACTATAAATATAATATACAGTATACTTCGATACAACCCTATACTATTAACTTCAAATTTCATAATTATCATTGAATTCTTCGACCTTGTTACTAATTTAATACGCAATATTTCTATACATTATATATTTTCCCATGGTTTATTTATGTCTATTTACGAACAGATCTAAACGAGAAAAAAAAAAAAGCAACTGATCAACAGCTGTTTTTCGTACTTTCCGAATTAAAAAAAAAAGAAAGCAACAAGCTTTCTCTCTCTGTCCCCCGGTGCTTAATGCGAAGAGGAGAGAGAGTGGGTAGTGGTAGAGTGCTTCCGGTTGTAGTTTATTGGACAGGTGATCGGCCAGGTAGGCTTCTGGGTCCCACAGAAGGGACGGGCAGGATCGTCGATGAGAATGATGAAGAGATGGGGTGGTGGAGAGATGTTGGTTATAATGGAGAGGGATGCAGGGGATTATTGGCAATAATAAGGTACAACGCAGACCATCATAAAAATGCAGGTGGTAGCAGATTGGTGTCGGATTACAGCTAGATCTAGCTTGGATTTCACTGTAGAGCTCCTTATTCTATGTTAACAGTCTGGGATGGCTGGCATGCCCCAATTCCATTGCCTTTTCATTATTTTAAAAATTAAATTATTAATAATTTATTGGAAATCTACATAGAGTTAAAAAAAAAATAAAATCGAAAACTAGATGCAAGATTTCCACCATTTCAATATTACTTTATAATCACATTATTAAATTTAGGGTTAAATACTTTGTTGTTACTGATCCATTATGCTTTAGTTTATTTTAATCATCCGATTTCTAAAATGCCTATATTTGTCTTTGCACTCCCAACTTTTGTTTGATTTTGTTTATGTATTTTTTAAAGGTTTGTTTTGGTTATTATAATTTTAAAAAGCCATCTCTTTTTGTCCATTTAATTCTACGTTTATCTTATTTTTTCCATCATAATCTTACTTCTTGAGATGTAACCATAAAATTATATTAAACAGCTTCTATTGTAATATGAAAAACATGTGTTAAAATTTTGTAAACATATACCAAAATTGACACTTTCGAAAAGTACATGGACCAAAATGATTAACTGAAGCTATAAAAGTTTAAATACAAGATCAAAATTGGACATTTTGAAAGTATCGAATTTAACAAAAACTAAAAATACAATGATCGAAATAGTATTTTAAACTTTAAATTTAATCACATTTGTTTTTTTTAGCGAAAATATCAATATATTTTGAAGAATCTCTTAAGATCTTCGTAGCTTCGGATGTTTTAGTTCGGTCAAACTTCACCAGTCATTTTTGTCCTCACAAATTGTTACGAGTTGACAATCTAAATATAGTTTAGTAGACAAGACACTAACTATTTTTGTTGAAGTTCGGTCTTTAATTCTCCACTCCACATTGTTATATTTGTTAACACAATAACACGTGAGGTGAGGATGAGGATTGAAACTTACAATATTTTGGTCCGAGATAGGTATCTTAATTAGTTTAGTTAAACTCAATTAGTTAGCAACACAATACAATTTTATTTATGTGGCAGTGAACTAATGTTTTATATTTGACCTATTATATTAGAGTTTTTTTAATATATTTTATTTAAAAGTTTTATGACGTGGAGTGGAAATTTGAATATCTAATATTTACAATAAATGTATAATGTCTCAACCAATAAAATTATGTTGAGACTATGGATTAGAATTTTACATTAAAATATAGAATGAGTGAAATTTTAATAGCCGATAGACGATTTTGGACAAACAAGCCATAAAAACTAAATAAAGACGTTAAAAATTAAAAGGAATAAATTTAAATGATGCTTAAACTATAAGAATAAAATTAAACATTTTAAAATGATAGAGCCTAAATTAGAACCGAGTTCCAAACTACAGTTTGTATTTATTTATTAATTATTTGTTAGTTGATACGGTATATTACAGTTGCATGTGGTGCGGCGCAGGAGAGACAAACTTGGTGTAACAAATCCAAAGCTCGGACACTAAAAAAAAAAGAATAATAATAATAATAATAATTA